ATTATTAGGGGGGCATATTTATTGATAGAATTTGGTAGGGCTGCTTCCAAATTCCTTCTAAAATCAATTAGAGTCTTTAATTCAAATTCCTTTTAAACTCGATAGAAATTTGATTGAAATTCTTTTTAGAATCACTTGAAATCGAATTAAAGTCCCGTTGAAATCAATTGAAAGGTATTTACAATTCTTTTTTTAAAATCAGTTGAAATCTAATTAAAGTTCATTTGAAAATCAATTGAAATCGAATTAAAATTTCGTTAAAATCAATAGAAATTTAGTTAAAGTTCTTTTTAAAATCAATTGAAATCTAATAAAAATCCCGTTAGAATCAATTGAAATGTAATTAAGATTCTTTTTAAAATCAGTAGAAATTTAATTAAAATTCCTTTTGAAATCAATGGAAATCGAATTAAAGTCCCGTTAAAATCAATTGAAATGTATTTGAAATTCTTTGTTAAATCAGTTGAAATTTAATTAACATTCATTTCAAAATCAGTTGAAATCGAATTAAAATTGCGTTAAAATCACTAGAAATTTTGTTAAAATTCTTTTTAAAATCAATTGAAATCGAATAAAAACCCCGTTAGAATCAATCGAAATTTAATTAAGATTCCTTTTAAAATCAATTGAAATCAAATGAAATTCAATTGAGATTTAGATAAATGCGGCTACAACTGTAATAAAATCAATTAACATCGCATTCAGTTCTTGTATAGAAAATCCTCTGTTAACACCATATGAAAAACAGTCAAAATTTAGGAAATGAAGGGAATCCCCAATTTCTTTGTATTTCTTCTTGCCCCCCTAATTCATTATGAGGTGGCCCCCTTTAAAAGTAGTCTTCCCGTTTTAAACGTAATCTTCTGGATGTTTAGGCCCTTGAATTTATTTTTTGATATTGGTCCTTTTTTTGCATATAACGGGGAACGGATTAGTCCTGCTGGTGGTGGTGGTCGGTCGCGTCGTGGGGTCGACGTCGTCGTAGCAGGAGCAGTACCAGTAGCCGGTAGCCAGTAGCCGGTAGCCAGTAGCAGTATAAGTGGTAGTAGCAGTAGTGGTAGTAGCAGTAGTGGTAGTAGTAGTAGTAGTAG